TATACGCGTTCTCTTCTGCACTTGTATTCGATGCAAATAGGACTTGTTACACACCATTTTAAATGGTTTAGGCGGCCAATAATGCTCAGCATCCACTGGCTGCAACTGCCCACTATATGTGTTTAGGTACTTCGCAACACTATATTGTTGATCAATATAGCTGGTTATACCTAAACCAACTTTTTGAAAGCACTTGATGGCATGTGAGCAAGGCATGTGGTAGATGGACCATTTCCCACAAGAGCATAACCTTGTAGATTCATTTACAGTATGTACATTATTCCCCCGATTTTGATGGATAGCGGTGCGAACTTCAAAAACATTTCTTTCGTTATCATACTGCAAAACTGAATGCCAATGTGCTTGCCGTCTGTATTTCTCAAATCTCTTCATCGGCACTGACATAAATTCAACACCCCTTTCCATCAATGACGTTGCAGCTGCAGACCTTTCAACAAACCTCTCCGCCATCTGCTTGAACGACATCCGCACCATGGCCGTGACAGGTAATCCTCTTGTTGACTTCAATAACCCGTTGAAAGACTCTAACACATTTGTAGTCAGAGTTCCCCATCGTCTGCCAACATCCCCATGCAAAGTCCACTTTTTAGGGTCATGTCGCAATAACCAACGATAGGTTGCCTCATCTTCTTGCCTGATATATTCCATGTGCCTCCGGAATTTATGCTGTTGGTGGTCTATTGCTGCCATCCATATCAAATCATGCAGATCCGTGTTGGGATATGCCTTCTGAAAATTGGCTTTAAAGTGCCTCACATAATAACGGTGGTAGGCATAAGGTTCTTTCCATGCAAGCAAGTTCTCCATAGAACTTAAGATACCACCGTGCCGATCAGATATTAGACAAATACCAGAACGCTATTTGACAACGTGCTCTTTTAAGTGGTTCAAAAACAGCGTCCACGTCTCTTGGCTTTTATAGGCACAAATACCAAAAGCTAGAGGAAATATATGTCCATTAGCATCTACTACCACGGCTATCAGCAGCTTGATATCGTACTTTCCATATACATGAGTGTCGTCTATGGATATTACGGGCCGACAATGCGAAAAACCATCAATTGTTGGTTTAAATGCCCAGAACACGTAATTGAATATATATTATGGTTTACCCGGACTCCGCTTAAGCTTCCATTCAACAATCGTCCCGGGGTTAAACTGCTATAGTGCGGCCATGTACCTGGGCAGAGCAGCAAATGACTTATCCCAGTTACCATAGACTATTTCAAACGCTCGTTTGCGCCCGAGATATGCCTTTCTTTTGGTAATGGTATGGCCATGTTCCTGGTGGACTGATGTAATGCACTCTTTGATTTTATACCTTATGGACGTTTCGATGTGTGGAATAAGGACAAGAGAAATCAAGTCAATATCCAAGTTAAAGTGATTCCCGTTGAATGTGTCCATTACGCATGTGTGGGTGGGAATGTATTTACCCACTTTCCACAGACCTATCTTCTTCTTGCTCGCACGCAACATCCAATGACATGGCCAAAACCACCTACGACAAACAACCTTGTATACAACCGGACTTGACTCCCATACCGTCATCTCACGACACTCTTTTACGTTGTACATTTTACAAGCCCTACTTACGCACGCTTTATCAGGAAAAAACATGCCTTTTGCCAGCACCGTTGGTCTAGACTCATCCCACATTGCTGTCCGAATTTCATCAAAATCCCTTGTGAGAGCTTCCACATCCGGCATGCTTGGCAAGTTATCAAGGTAAGGAATCTCCTTTGAATGAAATGACACTTGGGACTCGTACACACTTCGTCTAGGGGGTGGAGCATACTCTCTCGTCGAATCAGGTCCTTCCTTCTCATCCTCCTCATCACCATCCTCACGAGGAAAGGGTGTTTCGTCTCCAGATTCATCAGCATTGTTGTCGTAATCACTGTTCTCTTCCTCACTCTGTGCATCTGCCAGATCCCGATAAATACGTCGTCTTCGGGCAATTGAGTGAGTACATGTGGTTCAACTTACTCGTTTTCACTGCACAATCAACAAAATAATAAGCTACTGAAATTAATAAATACTTTCCATATAGCTGTATCACTTCACTTACAAGTCGTAATGTGATGAAATTCCATGATGAACATTTTTATTTAGGTGATGACTACCGGATAGACCACCATGATCCAACACACCAAAACTATGCTTGGGTTCATAATTTGTAAAATTTATATTCGGCCGGTCTTGTTAAATGTATCAGCGTTAATACAAATTCAATACAACAAAAATGTACATCGCAACACAAAGGAATTATGAAAATTAAAGTTTACCATTCGTCTTGTGAATTATGTAAAGCAGGCGGTGATAAGTTTAAATCAAGGAAAACTCTTTCATCCGGAACCTGTCCGGCAAAAACTGCTCCAGAATAACCACCCGATGACTGGGGGTTATACGGAACCTCTCCGGCAACCTCATTGTTAGGAACGTCTTCGACCTTGACGTACATATCCAACATTTTGATTACAAGAAATTCCCGGTATTCATCCGGAGTCCTCAGAAAATCCCTCAAAGTTTCATCATCGTAGATGTGTAACTCCGAGTAAAAAGCAGCCCCTTACGGAGTGATGGAATACCAATATCTTCCGGTTACTTTAAGTATCATTGAACGTTTTCTTACACTCATTTTTTTGCATAACAACGATATCAATTTATCGTACTCTATTGTAAGTGGTAATTTAACATGACCCCGTGGAGATAAACTATGCCTCACAGAGTTATTCTCCATCACAACCTCACCCCCCCCCAATATAATGAAACTCTTATTCTACGCTCTTCAGATATTACGCAAAAATGCTTGAGAATTTAACAAGAAAAAAAGATTGAATGGGAGTTAGAATTTTTTGTGAATGAATTTTCCTAAAATCCTAACCCCTTTATATAGGAAATGGCTAGCCCGGGGGGTTGAAATTTTTTATGTATAGCTCTCTTTGAATATGCGCTATACACATTTGAATTATTGTTATGTCAGTTAACTTATTAGTGAGCCTACAATCAAAGATATAGCGTGTTGTATTTTTACGCTATATGTATAGCGTAAAAATACAGCACGCTACACCTGTCAGTCAAATCGTCAGTATATATAGCGCGAAAATACGCCACGGTATACCTTAACGGCAAAAGTTACCGTTAAGGTATAGCGTGACGTATTTTGGCGTTATATATAGAAAGGTAACTTTTTTTCTTCACTTAAGTAATTTGAGTCCAAAAGAACTACAATTGGGTTCTGAACCCCCTTATTTCCCTTATCCACATCTTTTAATTGGTCTTTTTTACCTGCCAATGGCCTAACAACTCCTTCCCTCCTATTCGATATTATTAGCATGTTTGATCAATCTTCTAAAATTAATTTATTTGGAAAATATTTTTTTTAAAAGTATTTTCAAAAAAAAAATATACTTTGAGTGATAAGTAATTTGTGTTTGACTAATTAATTTGAAAAGTGCTTTTCAACGGTCATTAGTGTTTAGTCAAGCTTTTAAAAACTATTTCTAAGTATGTTTTTCTCAAAGTTTTTCCTAGAATCTTGTCAAAAACTATCTCTGCTTCTCTTCAAAAACACTTTTTTTTCTTCTAAAAGCTTGGCCAAACACCTCAATTTTTGAAGAAAAAAATACTTTTGGCCCAAAAAACACTTGGCCAAACAGGCTATATATATGATCGGAAAATTTTATTTTACAAATCAAAGCACAACATTTTAAACCACTTTTATTTAAAGTGAAAATGGAAAAACGAATAATGCTATACATTGTAAAACTAAGAAAGTTTTATTTGATAAGAAGAGGACAAAAAGCTTCATACGCATAATTTAAGGTCCAATATTGACCAAGAATAAATTAATATATTAAATTATTTTGAGCGTTTTACATTATTCTTTTCTTCTGTCCATTTATTCAACATAAAGATTTCGATGTAATGGAAATTAGTAGAAAAGTCCATTATAAAAAAGCAGAAACTCAAAATGTGAGAAGCAACTTTCACAATCACACAAGGGAGACATTAGAGTGTGAGAGAAAAGAAAAAGGTAGAATGAAAAGGAAAAGGACAGCAGAAGCAGCCAATTCCTCAGACAGCCTTTCCCACTCTCCCTTTCGTCTTTTCTTTCTGATTCATCTCTGTACAAACGAATCTCAGGACCCCACCCCTACCTGCACCCTCTCTCCAACTCTTATAATTTCCACATTTATCTTCCACACTCTAATTTACTTTCAACTTCAATAATCAGATTAATTCAGCTTACATCTAATAAACCCGATAGTACTATAGAAAACTTTATACCGAGAAAAATTTCACGAAGTCGATTCGTCTGATAGGATAGGGTAAGTAAAGATATCCGATAAGTTAGAATAATGCATGGGGTTAACTATCTTACAATCCATATGAATAATTAGCGTAGAAGTTATGAGTTCAACCAAACTCATAATTTTTGTCGTATTTTGTATTTTTATCCAAAAAATTATTAAATATTTACAAATAATAAATTTTGAACCCATTAAATTAAATGAGGTGTGGTAGAATCATGAATCTGAACTCATAAAGCTCAAATCCTATATCCGTCTCTGATTAACCCCACAAATTTAATATAAAATAATTTTCGGGACTAATTCATACACACAACTAAATGCAGAATAAATAATCCTATATTTTATCTCCAAATTATTATCCCTTATTCTACCAACCAGACAGACCCCTAAGGGTAAAAAGAATTGCATATATCTATTACACTTTTTGATAATAATTTCCGCTATTTCAAATCAATGTACGAGGTGTTAAAAAGTGTGATCATCTTAAAAATTTTATATCATTATTTGGTTTTACTTCATTTTTAAATATGGTGTGTAAAGTTAATTAATTAATAGATTAAAGACAACTTAATGCAAAGCTTCTATGAACGATTATGATGTAGGTATATGGAGTTATACATTTTATTATATAGTCTATATTACTTAAATCCTATGTTAAAAAATGTGATCCACCCATCTAAACTCCTCAATGTTGCGAGTAGTAGTTGAGACCACGTGTACTTCCATTTCTCTCTCACTTCCACTCCATTTTTAGCAGAATGAGTCCTTTTTTTTTGCATCATCCTTTCATGTAAAAGCAGACCGCTAAGGCGCTACTTTCTTATAAGCATCTCCTGAAACTCTTCCTTTTTGGTACAAAGCAAAAGGGAGGGCAAAAGGAAAAAGGTCTCTTCCCATAACAATTGTTTTTCACTGGTTAAAAGTAAAAAAAAAAAAATTGCTTCAACTTCCAAGTTTTTTTTCTTTAGCTCCTTTTTTCCAACTTTACAAAACCCTACTTTTTACAAAGAAAATTGAGAGTCGAGTTTTACAAAAGCTCTAGTACTGCAGTAATGAAAATCAAACTTTTCACGTTTATTTTTACGCTGCTTTGTGTGTGCAACGGCTCGTTAGCTGGGTTACTTTCAGAGCCAGCGCAGCCATTGAAGCCAGGTGATTACTCTAACTCTAACACTGTTCCAGCTTTTCCGGTTCAGACCGAGTCACAGACATGCCGGTTGGATTTATCGGACGAGCTCTTCGGTGGTGTGAGCGCGGCGTGCGGGCAGAATCTGGACCGAAGCCGTTGTTGTCCTGTCCTAGCGGCTTGGTTATTCGCTGCTCACGCGCGGTCAGCGTTGCAAGTTTCAACGGCGGTTGCGCCGGCTAGCTCCGACTTGCCGATGATGCCGGATGACTCGCAGAAGTGCGTTAACACGCTTCAGAACTCTCTACAGAGCCGTAACATCCATCTACCTCAACCTAATGGCTCATGCGACGCCGTTTTGTGTTTCTGTGGTATTCGTCTGCATCAGATCACTTCCCTTAGCTGCCCGGCGGCGTTTAACCTCACCGGTTCAAAGAATGCAACTCCTACCGCCGCTGTCAGAAATCTCGAGCGGAATTGCCGGAACTCTTCTTATTCCGGTTGTACACGGTGTCTCGGTGCCTTACAGAAGGTCAGCAACGTAAAATCACATTTTAAGACTATTTCTTCTTCTCCACTCAACCTAATACCCGCTTATAATTTTCTTCATTTTATTTTATTGTGTATTACAGAAATGCCCTTCATTGTCGATCTTTTTACCGTAGTTCTAATTTATTTATTTTTTTCGTTTCTATAGCTTAACGGTGACGGAAAAAATCGAACTCACAAAATGGCGGATACCAGCGGCGATAGGGTGAGCAAGATGTTAAGCAGAGACTGTCAGTTGATGGGATTGACGTGGCTATTGGCACGCAACAAGACGGCGTACATACCGACGGTTTCTGCTGTATTGCGCGCCATCATGTACAGTGCGCACCCACCACATGAGTCCAAGTGTAGTCCAGATCAGGAGAACATGCCATTAGCCGTTGATTCACTACAGTTCGAAAAAAGGGATTCATCTTCGCCGTCTAATCGTGTTTCTCGTTTTACTAGTTTGTTTCCATTTTTGCCCCTAATCATTTTACTGAATTGTCTCTTTGGTTAGTGAAACTATGGTTGGAGTTACATGATGATGCCCTCTGTTCTTTTGTGCATGTGACATGATTTTGGGGGATTCACGTGAGAAGCTAGTTGCCAAAATGAAGGGAGTGAAAAAGGGGTTATTTTGTCTTTTTGCCCCACTGTAAATTCAGGTCATATGTAAGACAAATTTCTTTTTGACATGTAGTGCCAGGAAATATTATTACCCTTCTTTTGTATGAATCTGCTGTTCTCCCTCTTATTTTTGTTCTACTATTTTTGGTGAGTAATTTTTGAATCCGTTCATTGTTTTGGTTGAGTTTTTTTGCTCTACCAAACAATTTGCTATTGAGTAAATCAAATCGTTTGCTCTAACTTGGCTGGTATAATTTGTTTGTTATTTTAGCAAGTGATAAAGAAAGTCGTAGTATTTGACTATTTGTATACTTTTTTGGTCTAGTAAAATACTTGGAACATCTTAACTCCTTTTTTACTGTGACTCTTCTATTGTGCTTTTTTTTTTCTTTTTTTCTTCCAGATGTTTTTCGGATGTGTCCTTAAAAATAAGAAAATTAAAAGAGTGGAAGCGGAACCTCTAATCAACTTGGACACATAAATAATTCTCGACGTTGAGAGATATTTTACCATCAGCTGTTAAATTGGTTTCAGAAATATTAACAAATAGTATAAAGTATAGCCAAAACAAAAAGAAGATTTACTTGATATTTGATTATGCTTGTCAACGCAATGATGTTTTTATTCATGGCCGTTTTCACGGCACCCAAATATCTAGCGCGATGATGTTTTCTGATAACTAGATATAATGTGTATTCGATCATTCGATGGCTCAAGAAAATCAACCAAAAGCCAAGAAAAAATTATATGCAATGCAATTAATTAACTTTGTCATTCTTTTGAATTTATATGCATTATAGTTGAAGTAATATAACTGAGGAAGGAAGAATGAAATGTAAGGACTGATTGCTAACGATGCATAGCATAAGAACAAGCTTCCTGTTGGGACAAAAGAAACGAAAAAAGTAGAAAAGAAAACAACAAAACACTGAATTATACCTATTTAAAAGAGGAGAATCTATAATGGAAAAAACGATGAGAACAAAAAAGTTTTAAATGTTGTTTGGATATCATAAAAGCTCGGGGGAAGAGCAATTCAACTCCCCAGGACTGAGGCATGTTGGTCGTGTAGTTTGTAGGATATAGCAATATTGAACATAGTAACGAGGCAAAAGGGTGTTTTATTAGATCTAAAAACAACATAACTCACATGTGGACATACAGAATAGTCTTCAATAATCAGATTAAAAAATAGACGTTGCACATGTTTACGGGAGAGAATCACGGTTGGATGTTTGTCACAAGGAATTAATTAACGCAGGCAGCCCCTTTCTTCTTCTCCATCTCTCTCCTTTTTTAAAAAAAGAAATAATTTATTTTCATGCTCAACAAATATAGTCAAATATTTCTATAATAACTTCGTTTGTTTTGATATTTTTGATTGCTACAGTGAAGTACAATTATAACGAACATATATTATTGGGAAACTTACACAAATGTCTCAAATAAATCTCAACTTACCAACCTCTAGCCATTAGTTATAGACTTACTAAAACTAGCCAACAAAAATTGAAAAATCAAATAATAAGGTTCTTTCTCTCAAAGAATCACATGCAAAAATCACCTTCCATACTTTTAAGCCTGATTAGCAATATTAGATACAAGACGGAAAGAAAATTTCACGGATGAGATAGCAAATAAGGTGATGAAATACAAAAATATATACAATATTCCAAAAATCTAAACAAAAAAAGGAACTTTTTCAATGGGTATAGTTGAAATTCATTGAAAATATATAGATAAGTCAATATACAAAATTTGAGGAAGATTGAAGGTGATTTGGACTGGTTTTGTATCAAAATTCGTAATTAAATTAAGTTCAAAAAAGTCTTCTGTGACACATGTATCAAACATGTATCACGCATGCATCTCACACACAGGTATACATGGATATACATGCTATACATAATTGATACAAATATGATACATATGTGATACACATCATTTTTTTCATATTCAGTTTTTACTTCGAATTTTCAATTCAAACCATCTCAAAACTTCACCAAATCATCCCAAAACTGAGATTCAAGCTCCTTAAGTTGTGCCCAGTCTATTCTAATAGCACCCACTCAAAACAAAGTAAAAATTTGATATTTTTTTTGCTACAAATAGCTAATTAGCTAATATTAGTAATATTTTATCAATTGGCCAATTTTTATAATGAGCTACTTATAAATGGATATAACTGGTAATTTCCCTATATTATAACATAACATTAAAAATTAGTTCCACCAAATACTTGATCGTTATTGTAAAATTTGTTATAGAGAATGACTATTTTAGAGAGGTTTGACGGATGAAATGCACTAGTACCCACTTTTAAGCATGTTATTTAAGATACATCTATATATTTTTATATATTTAAAAATTATTCAAATTTATCGAAACTTCAGGATTAAGTATCCTAAATTTTTGTATCGTGAATTTTTGAGCTGCTAATTTAAGATTCAAGACTAAATGTCCTGAATTTCTAAACTGCTAATTTAAAATTCAGGACATAAGGTTCGAATTTCTTAACACAATTTTCGAACTTTAGGATATGACAATGTTCAAACTTCAGGATGCCGTGTCATGATGTTTGAACGAATTAGCTAATCTTTAAATATATTGTAAACTGTGCATATATTTTTAACATCATACTTAAAAGTGGCTACCTAGTGTCATTTCCTCAAGTTTGATTGTAACATAAGTGAAAGTGTTTTTAGGTTACAATAACTCAATGTAAGTATAGTTGGGCTTTGAAATCCAATACACATTCATTTTAGATATTACTTTGTTAAGCTAATATAGGCTTTTCAAAGTCTTCGAAAGGTGATTGGGCTCAGCCCAAGGTCATTTTAATCTTATATACTGGGGAAAAGCTCGTCAATATTTCGTGATTTTGAAAGAGCAAATATCATTTATAGCCACTAGGGCCAAACCAATAACAGCCGGTAGCCCAAAATCGCAATATACATTTTATAGCCCAAAAATTATTCTAGTGGCTAGCCCAAAAGTATTGCTTTCTGCTTCTTTCTTCAGCAATTCAGATAAGAGAGAATCACAAAACAAACGTTCTCACTTTTACTCGCCTAATTTCCGTCCTTAGTTTACGGAATTGCCATTCATTGATAAGGTGACACATATTTTCATTTATTATAACAATAACATATTTATTGTTATACTATAGTCAAATATACCAGTGTGATTTTACGAAAAATCCAAGGCCGAGTGGCCTGCTAATATCAACTATTTAAAGATAAAAATAACAATAAATATAATTAGATGAGAAAAAGTGTGTATAAAAATAAATATTTTATAATTATTGGTTCGATATGATTGTGAAGTGCGGATAAATTTTATAGATTACCCTACAGCTTTTGCATACTACAATATTGTGTAACTCAGGTTTATAGCATTGTACAAACGATTATGGTCCATTTGTTTACTAGTAATAGTATTTATTTCTATCTCTGGTTATTAACGTAGAGTATTCAATCACACTGGCTATAGAGATAAACAAGTTCTCAATAATTCCGAGTTAACTGTTCTTTTTTTTTCTCAAGTGACTATATAAGAAGATTCCTTTTACGTTTTTGGTATAGAAACTGGCACAGTGAGTGATCAAGAACTTTTCTTTTTAAAATTAAAAAAAAAACATAGAAGAGGAACCCCACCTAAAAGATAATATTATGCGCACCTCCATGCTTTAATCGTAGTATTATATAATAATGGGACTTGACTTAAGTTTTTTGAGGGGTTTAAGCGCTTTTTACAATAATGAAATTAAGAAAATGTCCTTTTTAGATCTTTTACATGTAAAAAAATAAATCTCTCAGGTGTAAAAACAAATTTTTCGTGTTTAAAAAAAGAGATAGGGTCACTATACAAAATATATACAAAAATAAATTGTCATTATACAATAAATAAAAACTGTCATTATACAATAAATAAACTAAATAGAATTTCACTATACAAAATATATACTAAATATAATGCCACATTACAATAGACTGTAACTATACAAAATATATACAATATAAACTGTCATTATACAAAACAAATACTAAAAATATACAAAATAGATTGTCACTATACAAAAATATACAAAATAGACTGTTACTATATAATTTATAAACAATAGACTGTCACTATACAAAATATATACAAAAATAGACTATAACTATAAATTTTTTGCACAATAGATATACAAAAATAGATTGTCATTATACAGAAAATATACAAAATAGACAGTCACTATACAAAATAGACAGTCACTATACAAAATAGACTATCATTATACAAAAATATACTAAATAAATTGTCACTATACAATTTATATACAATAGATTGTCACTATATACATAATATACAAAATATACTGTCACTATAAAAATATATATACAAAATAAACTGTCACTATACAAAAATATACTAAATAAACTCTCACTATACAATTTATATACAATAAATTGTCACTATACAAATTATATACAAAATAGACTGTCAATATACAAAATATATACTAAATAAACTGTCACTATACAAAAAATATATAAAATATACCGTCAATATACTAAAAAAATACAAAATAGATCGTGGCAAAAAAAGGTTACTCTATTGCGCCAGGTAGGGGTCGAACCTGCGACATTCTGCTTACGAAACAACACTCTATCCACTGAGCTAAAAGCACTTGTGTTGTCATGCTCATTCCTTTCGTGCTACTAATTGCAATATGTTTGGGCCGAAGGGCAATTTTCTATAAGTGTGACAAAATATGGGCTATTAAAATTTTGAACATCTATAGAGGGTAATTTTCTCATTTTGAAAGTGCAAATATCATTTATAGCCACTAGGGCCAAACCAATAACAGCCGGTAGCCCAAAATCGCAATATACATTTTATAGCCCAAAAATTATTCTAGTGGCTAGCCCAAAAGTACTGCTTTCTGCTTCTTTCTTCAGCAATTCAAATAAGAGAGAATCACAAAACAAACGTTCCCACTTTTACTCGCCTAATTTCCGTCCTTAGTTTACGGAATTGCCATTCATTGATAAGGTGGCGACTTCGATCTTTTTAAAGTGCACATATTTTCATTTATTATAACAATAACATATTTATTGTTATACTATAGTCAAATATACCAGT